ATTTGTCGACCTTGGCCTCGAAAATGGTCTGTTCAATCTATTTGAAGGCACAAATAATGGTTAAAGGAAATAATCGTATGGTAACCAGAAAATGGAACAAAACTCAAAGACCAAATATGGTCAAGCCCTTTTGATAAGAAATTTATTGCTCTACACAGATTTTCTCTCAGGAATACAAACAACACCATTAATAGCGGATGTATAGAAAAAAGGAAAACTTGTGATACGAAAAGAATGGCTCCATATTGCATATAGAAAAACCAAAATAATAAAGAGTAGGCTTGTTCAAACGCAAAAAATATAGGTCATATGTCGGACCTAAACTATACAAGCAAGAAGGGGCTGAGAATCAATCTACACGATAGACAAAAATTCTCATGAAATCAATTGTGAGTGAACAAAATAACTATAGAACAATAGCCTACAGCAGCAATATCTTTTTCGACGAGCTTAAGCTGCTCCAGATGAAATGATTTTTCCTGCAACAACATTTCTAACTCAGCTTCATACTCATTTATATGAAGCGACTCCCTCGCGAAAAAACCAACAGCAACAGCGAGTTTGTTAGATACATCAGAGAGCTCCTTCGATTTGTCTCTTAAAAGCAAGAACGTCAAGTTATACCACACAAGTACCTCGTCTTCTTTATCACATCTAGTTTGGAAAAGCCGGCCTCAGTAACGGACATTCCCAAGAAAAGAATCAGCATCTAATTTGCGAGCCAATAGAGGTCCGCTGAGTATCAAATAAATCAGTAAATTATAACACAAAACACATATCGTTTTACAATGCACTACGGAGAAATGATATAATTGTAAAAATTGTATACTCTAAAATTTTACCTGTGCTTATGAGGCGCGTAAGAGTAAAAAGCAAACTTTTTGCTAACTAATCTTGTATTTTGCACTCCATCTTCACAGAGTTCATTCCATCGTTAAATGATATAGTGTAGGCTTACAAAACGTATCTAACTAATAAATAATGTAACAAGGTAGCGATTATTATATTAAGCACAAGACACCCTTTGAATATAAATTCATTGCTTTCTGATGTTTTGTGAAATTGCACCTCTCAGGGGTTGCTTTAGTGTTTGAATCGCTTTGACGCTGGCGTGCCGTTTTCGTCGGACAGCGTCAGAGCTGTTTTTCGCGTTCTCGAGCTACTTATTTATTTGCTAGTCATTCGCAAGCACCGTTTCTTAAGTGAGGCCTCATATTCGTTCTCATTCATTTGTTGGGCCGTTTCAAATACTTTTCGTTTGTGTTCTATCATCTTTTTATGTGTTGTTTTCAAGTTGCGTACCTTTATAATCTCAAGAAGTGGTTCCTATGTTGTAAGATGGCACCGAACAGGAGCCAATATTTATTTGCATTTTGAAGCCTTCAGTTTGCTTTTACCAGTGGAAAGTATAACTCGTCTTTTGGGAGCACATGTCCCTGCACTTCGTTCCCTATTTTATACTTTAATATAAGTCGATTTGCTCACTGCTTTCCTTAGTACCCATGTTTTTGAGTGTAAAGTTTCTCCAAGGGTGAAATATATGTTTATGTGTCTCTTCATATTTAAGTTGGTTAAAGTGCTTTGAGGGCACAA